GTGTTTGGGTGGAATATTCGAAAGTTGTATGTTAGGTCCATTTGATGTATAGTATCATTTAGTTCAGACATCTCTCTGTTTATTGTTTGTCCAGTTGACCTGTCTAATGGAGAAAGTGGGGTATTGAAGTCCCCTACTATTACTGAGTTGGGGTTAATCTGTGTTTTAAATGCCTGTAGTGTTGTTTTTATGAGTTTGGGTGCACCAGATTTTGTGCATATATGTTCAGAATTGTAGTATCTTCTTGGTTGGTTGTTCCTTTAATCAGAATGAAATGACCCTGTGTATTTCATCTGATTAGTTTTACTTTGAAGTCCATTTTGTCAGATGTTAGAAATGCAACCCCTGCTTGTTTTTTAGTGCCATTTGCTTGGAACATTCTTTTCCATCCTTTCTCCTTAAGGTAGGGCCTGTCCTTGACAGTGAGATGGGTTTCTTGCAGACAGCAAAGAGGTGGATTTAAAGAAAATCCATATGCTTAGCCTGTGTCTTTTGACTGGGGCGTTCAGTCCATTGGTATGTAAAATTATTATTGAAAGATGTGTATTGGTTGCCATCATTTTGACTACTTTTGCATTCTTTGTCTGATACTGTGTTTCCACAATTGTACCTAATTTACTTTCTTTCATTGCCCGTGGAGTATAGTTGTTCTTTTCTCAGTTCTTTGTATTACTTCGAGTAGTCTTTGAAGCGCTGGCTTTGTGGACATGTAGTTTTTATTCTTTCAGGCTATTCATGTCATGGGAGATTTTTCTTCCCCCTCCACTATAAGAGACATTTTTTGCTAAGTAAAGTATTTTGGGCTTACATCTATGGTGTGATGGGCTTTCCTTTATGTGTGACTTTTTTGTGTGTGTATGCAGCTTTCAGTATTGTCTCTTTGTTCTGTACATTACGTGTTTTTACTATGATATGCCGTGCAGAGTTTCTTTTCTGATCCTGTCTATTTGGTGTTCTATGTGCTTCTTGTATTTCTATGGGGATGTCTTTCTTTAATTTTGGGAAACTCTCTTCTATCATACTGTTTTATGTCTATTCAATACCATTAACCTGAACTTCTTCTCTTTCCTCTATGCTTACAATACATAGATCTGGTCTTTTCATGGTGTTCCACATATTCTGCATATTCCAATCCTGTGTTTTTAAAATTTTTTCATAATCGTTCCTTGAGCAGTCCAGTTCTTCAACTTTATCCCTAGTGTTGATACTCTGTTTTCCATTTCATTCATCCCTGTTGTTTCACTTTGGCTTATTGAGTTTTTCAATCCCTTCTTCATTTCAGCCTGAGTTTTCTTCAATGTTTCTATCTCTTTTGTGAATTCAGTCAGAAGTTACCCCAATTTTGGCACTCTCAGGCAGTGTGCTGAGTTTTCAGGCCCTAAACCAGATGGAGGCCAGAACAGGGACTTTCTTGTGCTTCTTCTTTAATGACTGTTCTTAACTTTTTCATTTCCGTATTTGAACTTTGATATTTTGGCATTTAATTTCAGAATTCTTTTCAACATATATATACTGAGCTGACTGAAATAAAGCCACCAAAGGCATTCCAGTGTTGTGTAGGCTACTTTTCTTTTTGCTCACAGCTTAATTTCTTGTTTAATTTCATGAAATTCAACGGTTATTCAGATTATTATCTGATGATTGTGAACTCGTGCTTATTGCAAAATTCCTTTCTTATGTCTGTACATCATGAAGTACTGTCCCTATGTTTTTCTCTATCAGGTTCAGAATATCAAGTTTGGTACTAAATTCTTTGATCATGTTCAGTTTGTCAAGGGTTTGAGATATGGATCTAGTTCCAGTGTTTGGCTTTTAGATAATAGGTTTTGATGGACTATTTTTGAGGAGAGTATCTAATTTCCAGTGAAGATTTTGATCCATTTTGGAAAAATTGGCTTCGGGGATGGAGATATGGCTCAGTGATTAAGAACACTGGTTGTTCTTGCAGAAGTACCAGGTTCAAATCCCAGCCACATGGCAGCTAACAACTGTCCATAACTCCAGTTCCAGGGAATGGAACAGCCTCTTCTGATCTCCGCAGGCATTGCATGACAGGGGTGCACTTACCTACATGCAGGCAATACATGCATACACATAAAATAAAAATAATAAAGCTGGGCGTGGTGGTGCATGCCTTTAGTCCCAGCACTTGGGAGGCAGAGGCAGTCCGACTCTGTGAGTTCAAGGCCAGCCTGGTCTACATAGTGAGTTCCAGGGCACCTGGAGGTAAAAGGAGACCCTGTCTCAAAAAGAACGAAAAAAAAATAATAATAAATAAAATTTAAAAACCCCTAATTGGCTGTCTTTTAGACATGTTGGTTTATTTCTGGCTTTGGATTCTGTTCCACAGATTTACATGGCTTGATTTGTATCGATGGCCATGCTGTTTCTGTCCCTGCGGCTGTAGAGCATAAAGTGAAATCTGGTCATTGTTCTTTCTTTTACCTGTTGATTTGGATACTTATGGTTTTTAATATGAACATGTTGATTTTAAAACTATTTTGTAAATAGGCCACTGAGAATGTTATGGGCATGTCATTGAATTTGGTGAGCACCTTCAGTAATATAGCCATTCAAGCCTACACAGAACTTCATCACTTCCTCAGGCTTTCTCATTTTTTCTGTTTATTTTGCAAAATATTTCCATTCCCATATCCTTTTAACATCTTTTACAGTCTCATTTCCTTCCTTCAATCAAACGTCAATCAAACATTGGCTTGACACTAGAAACTTAAAAGGGAATAAACATTGCATAGTATTCCCAGGAAATACTATGTTATTCCCAGGAAATACTAGTTATACCAAGATAACAGAGGGGTTGCTGAGGTGTATGAATGACCTGAGGGTATGCACACTGGAAAGCCTTTACCCAGCATGGGTCATGCCTTGTCTTCCTAGCCTTCCCCAGATCATATACTTTAGCTCTCCCCAAATCCAGGAGACCATGTGTGATTAGGGCCAAATTATATACGGCTGTCTTGGAATAAATTTTCTCACTTTACTTTTGATTTCAACTCCTATATTTTTATTTTAGATCAATCAAACATTGGCTTGACACTAGAAACTTAAAAGGGAATAAACATTGCATAGTATTCCCAGGAAATACTATGTTATTCCCAGGAAATACTAGTTATACCAAGATAACAGAGGTGTTGCTGAGGTGTATGAATGACCTGAGGGTATGCACACTGGAGTTCATACTGGAGAGAAACCCTACAAATGTAAAGCGTGTGACAAAGCCTTTACTCAGATTTCAAAACTTACTGAGCACCAGAGAGTTCATACTGGAGAAAAACCCTATAAGTGTAATGAATGTGGTAAAGCTTTTCACAAATGGCCAGCATTTATGTATCACCATAGAACGCATACTGGAGAGAAACCCTATGAATGTAAGGAATGTGGCAAAGCTTTTGCCAAAGGTTCAGATCTCAGAAGACATCATAGAGTTCATACTGGAGAGAAACCCTACACATGTAAAGAATGCAGCAAAGCCTTTACCACGAATTCAAGTCTTAGAGAGCATCACAGAGTTCATACAGGAGAGAAACCCTACAAATGTAAACAGTGTAGCAAAGCCTTTAGCCGTTGTTCACACCTCACAGTACATCAGAGAGTTCATACTGGAGAGAAACCCTACAAATGTGAAGAATGTGGCATGTCCTTTTCTGAACACTCAATACTTAAGAGTCATTACAGATTTCATAATGGAGAAGAACCTTACAGATGTGAAGAATGTGACAAGGCCTTTACCAGGGCTTGCTATCTTAGAAATCATAAAAGTATTCATACCAGAGAGAAACCATACAAATGTGAAGAATGTGGCAGTTCCTTTACTATGCGCTCAACACTTAAGAGTCATTACAGAATTCATACTGGAGAAAAACCCTACAGATGTGAAGAATGTGACAAGTGCTTTACCCACATCTCAAATCTTAGACGTCATCAAAATATTCATACTGGGGAGAAACCCTACAGCTGTGAACAATGTGACAGGTCCTTTAGCAATGGCTCAAGCCTTAGACGTCATCAAAATATTCATACTGGGGAGAAACCCTATAAATGTCGAGAATGTGACAAGTGCTTTACTCAAAGGTCAAGTCTTAGAAGTCATAAAAATATTCATACTGGGGAAAAACCCTACAAATGTGAAGAATGTGACAAGTGCTTTTCTCAACTGTCACATCTTAGAAGTCATAAAACTATTCATACTGGGGAAAAACCCTACAGATGTGAAGAATGTGACAAGTGCTTTTCTCAACTGTCAAATCTTAGAACTCATAAAGCTATTCATACTGGGGAAAAACCCTACAGATGTGAAGAATGTGGTAAATCCTTTTACCACTCCTCACATCTTAGATGTCATAAAAGGACTCATACTGGAGAGAAACCCTACAGATGTGAAAAATGTGGCAAGTTCTTTACTGCACGCTCATCACTTGAGACTCATTACAGAATTCATACTGGAGAGAAACCCTACAAATGTGAAGAATGTGGTAAGTCCTTTTACCATGCCTCATATCTTAGATGTCATAAAAGGACTCATACTGGAGAGAAACCCTACAGGTGTGAAGAATGTGGTAAGTCCTTTTACCACGCCTCATATCTTAGACGTCATAAAAGTATTCATACTGGAGAGAAACCTTACAGATGTGAAGAATGTGACAAGTGCTTTTCCAGGGCCTCATGTCTTAGATGTCATA